ACGGATACCTGAAGGGCTGAAATATAATAGCAACTTGCCAGGATTTACTTAGCGTTAAACTTTTAAATCAGAAGATTGACACTAAATTACCTTTCAGAGCAATCACTTTAGATTTTGGATTCATGATTGCAGAATCAGCAGAGATTGGACGTCTGATTGGATTGTTTGCATTGTCCATATCAATGATAACCACTTGTGCTGTGTCGCCAATTTTCTCTCGAACACAGATGAACTTATCAGACTCCATTGTGAGAGTCGAAAACCCAATGTTCGCCGCATTAATGCCAATGTTTTGAAGCTGCAAACACATAAAAGAATAAATACACTTTCAATTTATGAAATGATATTTTGGTGTGCAAGATTTCAGGTTTCAACCATGGGTTTATTCATGTGAAATGAGCAAAGCTACGTTGATATTCTGCCTGGCCTCAGGAATCATACAATCTATTTTTCATGGCTTTGACTCAAACGAAAGATGGTGTTTGATTGCATATTCATCATTGACCAAATAATATCAAATAGCAAGGAAACAAAACAATTGTATCACAACATGATATAAGATGGAATTTACTGAGGAGATATAAGAGAGGGAGGCATAAAGTTGCACACCTTCCTGCCTTGCTCAAGGGGTACTATTTACTTCTTTATCTGAAGAAAAAACTGCCTTTATGTTATTGCTGATTCCTACATAGGCTACTTCACCCCAGGTAGGCAACCTGCAACTTATGCCAAACAATTTTCGTTTGGTGCTCATTGGATTTTCTGACAAGCTAAGCTTTGAATCTTTTCAATTTATTAGAGCTGTGCAGTTAACCGAAAAATTTGGTTCTTCTGACAAAAGTACCGGTAGTTTTGGTTTTAACTTCCTGTTTAACGCCCGCCAAACGCCCACCTGATTGCAGGTTGAAATGTTTGGAAAATAACAAGATAATTTGTTCTCTTTGTGCACAATATGCACTGTACTAAGTGCTCAAATAGTTGATATTTTAGTTGTGATAGTTATTATTGTGCACTTGCTTGTTAAAAAGAAATATTTCATGTTCATAAATAAATTCCAATTGCTCTTTTAAAATATTCAGAGATTTATACAAACTTACAAAGGCATATAATTTCATCTATTTAGTAAAAATGCTCGAAACATACATAAATGAGTTCATACATTTGTACTGTTCTTCTTTTTTGAAAATAACCGAAACCGAACTGAGGTTTTTCTGTCCCAAAAAACCCGGAACCGAAATAAAATTTTTGGAACCACACAGCTCTACAACCGATTCCCCCAACAGTTGGACCCTATGCTGCTCAATGACCAGCAGTTACTGATCACCCCCCCC